GCCACCCGCACTTCTGACCGGCTGGCCACAAATCCAGAAGGTTCCCATGACATCTTGGTCTGAGCTGCTGTAACAAAAACACCATAAACTGGGTGGCTTAAACAACAAACATTTATTTCTCATAGTTCTGGAGGTTGGAAATCCAAGATGCAAGTGCTGGCAGACTTTGTGCCTGGTGTCTTCTTGTGTCCTCACATGGCAGAAGGGACAAGGGGGCTCTGTGGGGTCTTTTATTAAGGGCACTAATCCCATTCATGAGGGCTCCACCCTCAGGACCTAATCACCTCCATTTCCATCACATTGGCAGTGAGGTTTCAACATTTGGATCTTGGGGCTACACAAGCATCCAGTGTATAGCACACAACCTCCTTCAGGTTCGATGATTCACTAGAGCTCACAGAGCTCAGAAAAGGGCTACAGTTATGATTACAGTTTGCTTATCAAGGATACAAATCAAGACCAGCCAAAGGAAGAGACACAGAGTGACGTCTCGGAGGGACCCAAGTGCAGAGCTTCTGTACCCTCCACCCTCCCCACGGCCGTGGAACCGGGGTGCATCCCTGTATTCAGCAGAGTTTCAACGTCCAGAGATTTTTTCGGAGTTTCATTACAAAGGCATAATTGATTGAATCCATCTCCAGGCCCTCTCGCACCATGGAGGTCAGGCTGGCTCGAAGTCCCAACCTTCTCTCTAACCTCATGGTTGGCCTTTCTGATGACAAGGCCCCATCCTGGGTCATCTCAACTCCTAGCATAGACTCAGGTGTGACCCAAGGGGTTCGTGAATGACCAAGACACTCCTCTTACTGGGGAAATGCCAAGGATCCAGAATCTCCCCTCTGGAAACCAGGGACCAAGGCCAGTGAAATTCTTTATTATAATAGTCTCCCCTTTGTGGGGAGCCGGCACAGCCATGGCATACTCAGCCCCAGGGTGCCTTATGTGCCATGCCAGCTCAGCCTGGTTCAGTGACCCTGAGGGGGGGTGGGGGTTAAAGGCTTAGAAAAGACAGACAAGAGAATGAAAGCTGGGTCTCGGTGGGACGCTGCTTCCCTAGTGAGGAGACAACGCCAGCGCCCACAAGCCGTGTCTTTATTTTATAGCAGATGCCACGAGGCAACATAGGGGCGTGATCAAGATGTTTACAACATTCTCGTTGGTTTCAACCCTACTCAACTACATGCACCTGAACTCTATCACTCAGGCACGTGGGGCCAGGTGCTCGGACCACAGGTTCAGGCTCACAGCTACAGCTGTTGGCTAATTGTGCTGGGAAGGCTCCGCCCTCCAAGCTGGGACTTGCACGTGACCACGAGAGGACTGTGCCCTCTCATTAGCCCAAGGCTTGAACCTGTCCAAACACTGTAGCCGCACCCTATACCCCTTATCCATGGTTTCACTTTCCACAGCTTCAGTTACCCGTTGTCAATGGTGGTCTGAAAATATTAAACGAAAAATTCCAGAAATAACCAATTCATAAGTTCTACATTGTGCACAGTTCTGAGTCGCATGATGAAGTCCCACCCCACCCCACCTGGGTAGGTAAGTCATCCCTTCTTCCAGCATATTCGCGCGGTATAGCTCCCCACCGTTCGTCACTTAGTAGCCTTCTCAGTTATCAGACACTTTCAGAGAAAGAGAGACAGAGAACACATTCACATAACTTTCATTTACAGTATATTGTCATAACTGGTCTATTTTATTATGCTAGTATTGCTAATCTCTTACTTGCCTAATTTTATAAATGAAACTTTATCATAAGTATGTACGTATAGGAAAAAGCACAGTATCCATAAGGTTCAGTACTATCCTTGGTTTCAAGCATTCACGGGGGTCATGGAACATACCCCACAGATGAGAGGGGATGACTCAAACCCACACTTCCCACAACTCCTACCTCTGCAAACAAAGGTAAAATCCACCTGACAGGGCCTACCGCTGGCCTGGGCTATGCTTTATTTCATTTTTAAAACTTTTTATTGTGAAAGTTTTCAAAATATGCAACAGTAGAAAGAATATTTTAATGAACTATCCTATCCCGCAACTGTTTCATTGATTACCAGCTTGTGGCTCACCCTTTCATTCATACCCCACCCCTTCTCCCTATATCCATCCTCGCATTATCCTGAAGCAAAGCCCAGAGGGACATCCTATCAGGAATTCTCGCCCATGGCCAGTCTCAAATGGGCTATAGGTCTGCTGACATCTCAACATCTGGGAGCAGCTGGGTAGGGCCTGGGTGACCAGAGGCCCCTGGGCACCTCATTTGCTCACCCCAGTGTGATGGGTCACACTGTCTACACACTGAGCTGCAAGGAAGAACACCAAACACTGGTTTCCTACATTCCAAGCTTCTAAGGCAAGTCAGCCAGCCTTGGTCCTCGTATTTCTCACAAGTTTCAAAAGATCCATGCCCACAGCCCTGATTATCTCGTAAAGAATCAACGCTAAAATAAACAAGCTCATGAAATAACAGCTCGGATACTTCTGATTAACTAAAATCAGTGGGGGTCAGCATAAGGTAAGCGATAACCTATCAATTATCCATTTCAGTCATTAAAACAGGAGGAACCAGCCAAGCAGTCTTGAATTGTACAGAAACCTGACCCTGACCTTTGCTTTCTCGTGCCAGAGTGACCAAGACAGTCCCTGACACCCAGGTCTGGGATGTATTTTTATGTTTGTGTCTCTGGAAATTTCTGACACTTCCCTGGGGTACCAGGACGCATGCAGGAGGCCTCGAGGAAGCATCTCCATGATGGGTTGGCATCACCCATACCTCCCCATTGGACTTTCTCTGCAAAGCGAGAAGTCGGATGAATGCAAAGGTTCCTCCCACCCTAGGACTCCAGGGTTAGGCAGTAGCCCTACAAGGCCAGGGAATGTAAGGTTTGAGACAGGAATGTGTGCGCCTCACTTACACCTCCAAAGCACCTTGCGCAGAGCTCGGGTCACCTACTTGCCTCCCTTAGAGACAGAGGGACGTGTGCTTCCCTTTCCTGAGCAGTCGATGGCCGGGGAAGCGCCCTCTCTGTGGCCTTCATTTCTGCGGGAGAGAGCCACCATAGGGCCCTGGGTTCAGGTTCATCTTGGGCATTCTCCTCTAAGCCCAGCTGACTCCCAAGTACGACTTGGCTCCAGACAAGGCTACTGTTTCAGAAGGTCAACGTAGATGCTTTTGGCCAACTCCAAAAGCAGAGAAGAGTCATCAGAGAACCTTTCTTCCCGGTAGCAAGGGAAGAAAACGTTTGATAACCACCTGCCAACGCCAACGTCGGCAGAGAAGCCTCCCCTACAAGGACGGTCTCTCCCCCAAGGAAGTGACAGTCCTTGTCGGGAGCTGACACAGATCCACACCTGTCAGGAACACCACGTGCCCCGGGCCTGCCTTGCCCTGGAATGCCAGCACAAGGCCTCACCTTCACCAGACCCTAGCGGTGACCGCTTTTTCATGCCACCAAGGGCCTGGCCTGCGCTCCTCTCTCGGGCAAACCCAGAGCAGGACTCATTCCACCACGAGAGGTGAAATTCCTTCCACTCACATCCTGACATGAGGATAGAGAGAGCTCGGGAAACTCCAGCTCTCCATTCACTCCGCCCCTTCATGGACTGGGGTTATTTTCACTGCATGGAAACACTGCAGGAAAACAGCCCCTTGTGCTAGAATCCTGTAGCTCGTTCCCTCGCTGATCCTTATGGTCTTCCTGAGCCCTAGCCTGGTCCATGCCCACATCTAGAATTGGCTCAAAGGAAGAAGACAGCGAAAGGGGCGAGGGCCAGTGACAGGCCTCAGCAGCCTGTGGCCGGGAGGAACAGGAAGGGGCTGTTCCCCACGGGAGCTGCTAGAAGATCATCCCAGCTGTAGGTAGTCACCCAGATGAGCTAGTATGGCCCCTGAGGCAGCTACATACAACCTCTCCTGTGATAACAGGTGTCAGAGATGGGGCTTAGCTAGCTGCTCAGCTGTGCCAGCTCTGTATCCCACAATCCTGCGGAGAGGCAGCTACCCCAAGAAGAGGTACCGATAAGAAGGCAAGATCCTCTAACAAGACCAGAGCCACACACTTCTGGCAGCCAGGTCAGGATTCCCTGCCCCAAAGCCTCGGCTGTGGGGAGAAGGCCTCCAGCGAGGTTCTGTGGCTACAGCCATGAGATGCCTTCCGTAATACTTGGGACTGGGAGAGGTTTCCATTCACACGGGACCTGGGTCACCTTGACCTTGAATTAGAAATTCTATAAGTTATGCCCAGCCGGAGTGGCTCGGTTGGTTGAGTGTGGTTCTGTGCACCAACAGGCTGCCAGTTCAATTCCCAGTCAGGGCACATAACCTGGGTTGTGGGTTCCATATGTGATGAGTCACATATGGAAGGCAACCAACAGATGTTTCTCTCTGACATCGGTGTCTGTACTTCTCTCTCTCTCCCCCTCTTTTGTTTCCTCTCTCAAAGCATGTCTTTGGGTGAGGATTTAAAAAAGAAGAAATACAACATCGGCTGATTCAGATCATGGCCCGAGACAGAAAAGGTTCCTATTGGAGTAAACATTTAAAAATTCTCAACGGGGCGATGAGGACAGGAAGGGCGGTGAGGCTATTTTCCAGGGGAGGAAGAGGACCCACTTTTGGAGGAAACTCTGGTCTGGGTGGAGACCTGCCCTCAATCACAAAAAATAAGCAGGAATCTGAGCATTCACCCCCGGTCCTCACATGTGGGTACTGGCGGGAAGGGAGGGTGAATAATATCAAAATTCAAAGACTTGAAAATTTTTTTTTTTCAATCTACTGCAGCGATTTTCAACAAGTGTGCTGCAGCACACTGGTGAGCCACAAGAATTTTTAAAACATGGCAACACCTGACTATTCAGTCAGCGGCACAGACCTCTTTTCCCTTAGATTGTCAAATTAGAAAATGACAACAGCCAACACAACAACTGTTTGGTGTGAATGAGTCAAAATTGTATCTTTCTTTTTTTGTCAGATTGGCAAAAAATATATTTGTTGGTGTGCCACAGTTTTAGTAATTAGCTTATGTGCCATGAGATGAAAAAGGTTGAAAGTCGCTGCTCTATAGAGTTGAATAGCCCTGAAGAGAGTAATCGAGACACGGAGATGGGAAGACAACATGAGGGCATCCACCAAGGGGTCCGAGAAAGGACTGCAGTGGCCCGAGATGTTCTCCAAGAGGAAAGGGGCACTGATGACTTTATCCCCAAAGCCCTGTCCAGCCACCCAGCAGCCTGGGGATCTACCAGAACCAGGGGAAGAGGGGGGGTGATCCTGCCTTGAGGGGCAACAGGACGGAGAAACGCTTCCTTGCCCACAACACAATCACCCCCACGCCTTTCCCTGGCTAAATTCCTCCCTTATCCCATCTCCCCACCCTCTTACCTTCCATCAACTCCCCTCCCATCCTGGCAACCCCTGGGACTGTCAGGGAAGATCTCCAAGAGCCCCCTGCACCTTTTCACTAGAGTCCTGGGCACTGCCCGGGCAGTTGGCCAGTGTCCAGGGCCTGCCTACTAGGCAGAGCAGATGGAGAGCGTGGCACCTGTAGAGAACACCCAGAAGGCCGGATACAGAGCTTCAGTAAAGTCCTCCTTGTACTTATACATCACGTGGATCTTGTCAAGAGCAACAGCAAAGAAAATGACGAAGCCGTGGTCGCAGTTGAGAAGCACGCCAACCCGTGTGGCCTTGGTGGTGGGCAGGATTTTCTCCACATTGTTGTGCCAGGCGGAGATCTTGGTGTTGAACCACTCCACGCACCAGGAGGCGCTGTTGCGGCCGAGCCGGCTCTCAGGGCCCTGCCGGGCCATGCTGCCATAGCAAATGCCCATCCCACAGAAGTTGTTCTTCTGCAGCTCCACCTCCCAGTAGTGGATCCCTTTCTTGTAGCAGTGCAAGCCCAGCACCTGAGAACAGTATGTGAACCTCTGGGGATGTGGCCGGTAGGTCTGGTGTGTTTCGGCCACAGAGGCCACAGTGTAGTTCTCCGAGAGAGCCACCTTGCTGTAGGCAGTGTTGTAGTCCAGGATGACCTTAACAGCATCTACAAAAGCATCACCCCAAGCAATCAATTACAAGGAGCCCAAGCGCTCTCACTTTTAAATCTTTTCTCAACTGGGAGTATTACTCATTTGTTTTATCCATCCATCCACCTACCCATCTATCCATCCACTTACTATTGTATCCATCCACACATCCACCCGTCCATCTATCCATCCGTCTGTCCCTCCTCCTTCCATACTTCCATCTAGCCATCCGTCCATCCATCCATCAATCCATCCATCCACTCATCCATCCATCCATCCATCCATAACTGAGGCCTAACTGAGAACACAAAGTTCCAGAGAGAGCAAAAGGGGTAAGATCCAGGGTCCTGGCCAAGGAACTGGCCTTGAGGAAGTGAACAGAGAAAGGAGAGAGAGGGTATGGAGTCAAGTGAGACGGCAAAGAGAGGATGAGGGAGGCCCCTTCTGAGCGCCTCTCTTCTCTGCGACACAGAAGCTGGGTGGGAGAGGGAGAAGTTATGGTGCGTGGCAAGGCTTTGGAACGGCAGGGAGCCAAAAGGAAAACCAGAGGAGAGAGCTGGCAGTGGGACCGGTGGGTTTTGGCAACAGCCACTGCCTGCAGATGCTACTCACACGCCAGGAGCTCAGGTCTGGACTTGGCTAAGAAGTTCTCCAGCACCTTGGCCTTGAGAGACACCGAGTTTGGCTGCGCGGGGCTGGGTTTGGCTGCAGCTGGGTGAGGAAACAGAGAGCCATTTTCAGAACAAATTCAGAGTAGATCTCCCACTGGCCCTCGTCCACAGTAACTCACCCTCAAAGCCAGCTTGTTTTAAATCTCCTAGCTGCTCCGAAGACCCAAAGGTGGGAAGCTTGTTGGGTGAGCCAGCAGCAGCGGCTGGGGATGAGGAAGGAGGAACAAATGTTGGGGACATGACACAGAGCGACCTGATGGCCTCTACTCCCTTCTAAGCTGATTTTCAAGAGTCACTTCTGCCCGGCCAGTGTGGCTTAATAGTTGAGTGTCCTCCTATGAACCAGGAGGTCGCAGTTCAATTCCCGGTCAGGGCACATGCCCGGGTTGCAGGCACATGTCCGGGCGTGCAAGAGGTAACTGATTGATGATTCTCTTTCATCATTGATGTTTCTCTCTCTCTCCCTCTCCCTTCCTCTCTGAAGTCAATAAAAATAAATATTTTTTAAAACTTTAAAAAAAAGTCACTTGTACAGACGACGCACACCTGGACAGCCAGGGCAACACAGGTGAGTTCAGATGGGCTATGCTCACTTGTCGTCACCTCCAACCTGCTATTACAGAATGTAATCCTAGAACTGGGGCCCCATCACAGAATCCCGATGAGACAGGTCGGCATTTAGTGCTGCACTCAGCCAGTCTCAAGAAACAAACAGAGCAGAAATGCGTAACTTACGAAATTTCTTGGGTTTCTTTTCTTCTTCTGAAAAAAAAAAAAAAAAAAGAAAATTCCAGAATGAAGACATTGTAAAGCACAACACAATGATGCTTTCCCAAGACCATAATAACATTCATTTGCATAAATGTGACCCATACTGATAAAGCTAGGATGTTTGAACTTGACAAAGATAAGGGGTCACCAGGCAAATAGCTCCATGGTGATTGGTGTGGAAGGAGCATGATGGAATTTTCTGGGGTAATGGAAATACTTTATCTTGATGTGGGTAATAATAGTACCACCCACGAATGCATTGGTCAAAATTTACCTAACTGTATTTAAGATCTGTTCATTTTACTGAACGTAAATTATATCTCCATAAAAGGCAAAGTGCAAAAGACAAAAACAGAGTCAGCAAAAGCCACGTGCTGGCCAAGTACCGCAATAGTCCTTACGAACTAGCTGGAGTGTGTGCCTATGGAAACCGACTTAGCGAAAACAGCGGTTCTCCAAGTGTCTTGTCCCAACCAGCAGCATCAGCACCACCGGGAACCCATAGAAAATGCACATTCTCGGGCCCCACTCCAGACCTGCTCCAGGCAGCAAGGAGCAGCAACACCTGTGACTGTCTCAGCCAGCCCCGCCAGCCCCAGCCATGCTGCTGCCACGGGGACGCGGGGTTACTTACTCGGGACCTTCTTCACAGGGCGTGTGGGTTTTGGCGTGGGCGCCGTGGCATGCTCTGCAGGCTCCCCTGTGCCAACGAAGAAGGTGCTCATTGATGGGGCTCCTCCAAAACACCCCGGGAGCCAGCTTTGCCACAGGCGGGCGGGTTTACAAAGGCAGCCACTCCCACATCCCATCCACGCTCGCCTCCCAGCCCTTACAAGAGCTAGAAGACAGGACCTAGGAGGACCAGTCTGGGGCGTTCCCTCTTTTCTCTGGCTTAAAACGTAGCTGGGGTCCAGTCTTTCCACCAGCACCCGCTCTGTGACCTCTGCACCGGCTCAGCTTCAGCGTCTTCCAGCGCACAACGGGGGGAGGCCCTTGCTCATAGTGATGACACAGAGGTGCCTGCAGCCCCTTCCCTCTGGGTTTCCACCCCTCCCTCCCCCAGACCAGGGACCACTGAGGTAGCAGGGGGCTAATTCGTCCACAGCTTTACGCTCCTCCATGGGGCCGAGCCCTCCATGAGGAGGTACTGGGAGTCTTTGTGGCAGGACCCCTGAAACTAAGCCCCAATGCTCGGGATCACGGCCCTCTCTTGCACCCCAAACCGCTGAGGGGACCCACCCGAGTCAGGGGTCTCAGCGGGGTCCGTGGGGAGGTGCGGATGGTTACCTGAGGTGGGGGGCTCCTCAGGCTTCTTGAGGCACCGCTTCAGCTCGGTTTTGAGGTCCAAGGTGCTCTGGTAGACGCCCTTTATCAGCTCGTGATTCAGCTCCACCTTGGGGACGTACACTGGCTTCGTTGAGACCGCCTGCAGCTGTGCCGCTTTCTGGAACAAGCCAGGGGGTCAGTGCAGGTGGCTCCAGGAAGCCAGGGCCTGGGCTCAGGCTCCAGAAGCCCAGAGGAGCTGCCCTGCGCCCACCCCACCTACCCGCCTTCCCAACTATAGGCCTGAGGTCGCTGGGCATTAAAGTGTCACTTTTAAGACCGTGATCTGGAACTGGAAGGACCCTCAGAGGTTGCTCCCCTGACAGATGGGGAAACTGACGTCTAGAAATGACAAGTGACCTGACAGGAACCCTGGTCACAATGAGTTGGCAGGGACAAAACTGGGACCCAGGTCCCCTGAGCGCCATGGAAAACGCTCCCTCCACTCCTCCAGCTGGGGCTGAGGCAGCACGGGAGACTCAGGACCAGCTGTGAACACAGGTTCTGGGATGGACAGGGAGGTCTCAAGCGTGCAGGACTCAGCTAGGGCACATCCGATGAAAAGGGTCTTCCGGGCTGTCCCAAACTTTGAGACAAGAGTCAGGTCACAGCGTATGAAGAGGCCCAAATGCGGATTCAGAACCCTTCTCAGAGAGCTCGAGGCAGCTACTCCAACGCACCGGAATGAGAAGAAGCTAACACCCTCCAGCCTAGGGTGGACCAGTCACTCCTGTACCCTCCCCCGGACCTGAACGAGGCATCTGGGCCTTGGAGGGGTCAGAGCACGTCACCCAATCAGTGGGCTCACCGGAACACCCACTGCATGCCAGGCATTCTGCAAGGGCTGGGCATGCCAGGAAGAAAGGTGGCCGTAAAGGATGGGCCACACTGAACGGAGCTGACAGCCTAGACAGGTAGGAAAACACATCTAGCACAACGTCAAGAGCTTCGGGGGGGGGGGGGGGGGGAGCACGCTCCGATTGTCAGTAATGGCAAAACAATGGGATCCAGGGAGGACGGAGGAAACTGGGGACCCTGGGACATGATCCAGGGCCAGGAGGAACGGTGAGTGCTCTGCTGTGGTCACAGCACGGAGCATGGGCTGGGGGTGGGCAGCAAGACATGAGGCTGCTGGCAAAGGCAGGGCCCGGTCATCAGGGGCCAGGGGGCCGTGCTAAGGAACATGAAGTCGGAAAGGGCGGAGGGCTCTGTGCTTTATAAGGACGCTTCCATCCTGGCTGGCATGGCTCAGAGGTTGACTGTCGACCTATAAACCACGGTTGGATTCCCAGTCAGGACACACACCCGGCTGTGGACTCAATCCCCAGTGTGGGGTGTGCAGGAGGCAGCTGATCAGTGATTCTCTCTCATCACTGATGTTTCTACCTCTTTCTTCCTCTCCTTTCCTCTCTGAAATCAATAAAAATATATTAAAAACAAACCAAAAAAAGACACTTCCAGGGACCATGTGGAGGAGGGATTAGGGAAGAGAGCGAGGTGCATGCAGTAGGCAATATTCCAAGATGGCCCCTAAGAGTCCCACCCCTTCCCAAGGTTACACATCCTATATAATCACCTCCCTTGAGAACAAGCAGGGCAGTGAATGTGAAAAAATTTTTCAGAGGTCATTTTTTAAAAGTATGTTTTTTAATTGATTTTAGAGAGTGGAAGGGAGAGGGAGAGAAACATCGATGTGAGAGAGAAACATCGATCAGCTGCCTCCTGCATGAGCCCCCTCACCCCCTTTACTGGGGATCGAACAGGCAACCAGGCACGTGCCCTGACTAGGAATAGAACTGGCAACCTTTTGGTGCATGGGACGATCGATGTTCAACCAACTCAGCCACACCAGCCAGGGCCCAAATCTGTTGATTTTGAGTTCATCAAAAAGATGAGTCTCCTGGATGGGCCAGGCTTACTCGGTGAGAGGCCTGCAAAGGGGGGCTGGGCCTTCCTAGAGGGAGAATTTCCCGTTAGCTTTCAAGTAAGCTGCCAAGCTGGAAGAGGGCCATGTGGCAAGGAATTGCGGCAGCTTCTAGGAACGGAGCGTGCACAGCCAGCAAGAAAGGGGGACCTTGGTCCTGCACCACAAGGAACTGGATTTACCAACCACCAAGGAATGCAGCCCCGCCGACACTCAGAAAGCAGCCTGTGAGAGACCCTCAGAAGACAACCCCCTAAGCCACGCCCAGACTCCTGAGCCACAGAAAGTGTGACACAGTCCATGTATGATCTAAGCCCCCGTGTGTGTGGTGAGTTGTCCCACAGCATGTAAAACGAATACAGCTTATGTGTCAGGGACGCTTTCAATGACCTCTCACAGACCCCACTCCTAGAGGCCCCGTTGCCCCGTAGTCAACATCGTCACGCTGGGCAGGAAGAGTGTTCAACAATGTCCTCATCAAGACCCACCTCCAGAAACTCAAACTCGCCCCCCTTGGTCAGGGCGGCTTCAATCTCCTCCTTTACGGCCTGCATCTCTGCCTTCTTCTTGAGGAGGATCTGGTAAATGTTGTCGAACTTGCTGCTGACCCTCTTCTCCTCCTCCTTTATCTTCCGCGTGGAGCTGGCCTCGGAGGCGTCAATGAGCGCCTTCATTTCCAAGTAGTCTTGTCTAAGCTGTTCTATCTTCTTTTGAGCAGCCTCCTAAGATGCCAAGACAAGAACACATCCATCAGGCTGACAAAGCTAAGCCCGCGGGACCAAGCGTTGGGGAGATGTGGAGCACACAGGGGGCAGGACCACTTTAGAGAGCAATTTGGCAATTTCTAGTGCATTTGAAGGCGCTCGGACCCTGTGACCCAACAACTCAACTCAAGGAATATACTCCAGGAAAATCTCCACAGATGTGCATGAGAACACGCACAAGCAGCACTGTTTGAATTAGCAGAGCCCTGGAAACAGGAGACTGAATGTGCAGACTGCGCATTCACTGGATGGAAGATTAAACAGCAATGAGAATTAATGAACTGGGGTGATGCACGGATAAATTCTATGGGGACAAACAGCTTGTAGAAAAAGACACACAGTACTGATGCCTTTACAGAAAGCTTAAATACAAACAGGATGGGAGCATTTATTGCCAAAGGGAGGCACACAAACATAAAGCAGTATAAAGAAATCCAGGGAAATAAATTCAGGATAGTGGTTGCTTTTGGAAGAGAGGAAGGGGGATATAAAAAGGGAAGGCTTTTTATACAGTAGAGTGAGGGCTTCAGCTGCATTGGTGACATTTTTCTTTCTTTCTTTTTTTAAAAAAATATATTTTATTGATTTTTCACAGAGAGGAAGGGAGAGGGATAGAGAGTTAGAAACATCGATGAGAGAGAAACATCGATCAGCAGCCTCCTGCACACCTCCTACTAGGGATGTACCCGCAACCAAGGTACATGTCCTTGACCGGAATCGAACCTGGGACCCGTCAGTCCGTAGGCAGACCCTCTATCCACTGAGCCAAAATAGTGAAGGCCATTTTCCTTTCTTAAGCTGGGAAGCAGTTTGTGGTAATTTTTCTGTTTTAAAGAGAGGGTATGAAGCTGCTCTAGAAAATTTCTAGAGAATATCACCCTCAGGAACGGACTGCCCAATTCCATAGCCACTTGCTGGGTGTGTCTACAGAGCACTTGAAAGGTGCCTCATCCCAATTAAGATGTGCTGTGTGAAATGCACACTGGCTTTCAAAGACGAAGTACAAAAAAGGGACTGCAAAGTCTCTCATTAATACATTTCACTGACTCTGTTGAAATAATCACTTTTTGGATGTTTTAAGTTAAATAAAATGTATTACCAAAATTAATTTCTCGTGATGTTAAAATTAACCTGACGTTACAGATAAGGCTCACGTTGTATTTCTATTGCACAGCAGTGCTCTAGCTCAGAATCAACATGAAAACAGAAATGGACACGAGATGGGCAACGTACAGGGAGACTGACATTCAGTTATTTCTTTACTACCCAAAACCTTACCCTGCCATCTCCAATGTGACTGCTAATGGCCCCCAGTGCTCATTCGCAGGAAGAGAGCACCTCTCGAATCTCGAATCTCGGGAGGACACATGGCTGCTAAGCGACGGACTACATTTCCCAGCCTCCCTGTGGTGAGGCTTGGTCATGTGACTAAGCTGTTCCTAATTCGGTATGAGCAGAAGTGATATACATGAGCAGAAGTGATATACGAAACACTCTTCTTGTTGCCCTTCTGGCAGGCTAGGACAGAGACAGAATGGTGACTCAGCTTCAACCAACCAGGTGCGTGGGCTGATGCTCTAACCATTTAGGGCTCAACACTAATTTTTAATGATTCCCCCAACGCTGGGCTTGCAGGTAGTCTTTTGTTTGCGTCTATGAAGGCTCTCTCCTGGGCACATAGTTTCTGGCATGTTTTACAAGGTTGACGTTTAATTCTGACACTGTGAATGAAACCACCATGAGCCTCGTGGAGATCCCAGCTGAGCCTGTCCTGCCTGGAGGCGGAGGGAGGCCCAGGGCCAGGGCTGGTGGTGGAGAGCCCTGCCACTCACCCGCACATCCTTCTGCCTGGCTCTCACATCCTCCAGCGCTCTCGCGGCACCGTTGATCTGACCGTACATGACTGTCAGTTTATACCTCAGCTTGTCCTGTGGGGAAAACAAAACAGGGTGAGAGAACACCTGGGCCCAGCCCCCACCGGCACCCAACACCGAACCATCCCCCGAGCCTATCCCACAGGTGGTGTTCCCGCCACCCCAAGTCTTGCCTGCTTGTAGCCTTTTCAGCATTCTCATATTCACTACCTCCCTTCATCCTCTTAGGGAGACCGTGCTGTAAATACAGGATTTGGAGCCAGACAGACCAGGGTTCCAGCCCCAGTTCCCAGCTGTCCAATTGCCTCTCACCTCAGTCTCCTTGGCCACTAATGAGATACAGCTGTTCCCACCTCACAGGGCTAGTAGGAGTAACGTGAACCACCCAGAAACAACAGAAGTCCTCAGTCCACTCAGTAAGATATAAACCAGGGGTCCTCAAACTTTTTAAACAGGGGGCCAGTTCACTGTCCCTCAGACCGTTGGAGGGCCGGACTATAGTTTAAAAAAAAACTATGAACAAATTCCTATGCACACTGCACATATCTTATTTTGAAGTAAAAAAAACAAAACGGGAACAAATACAATATTTGTATTTGCATGTGGCCCGCGGGCCGACGTGGGCCCCTGGTATAAGCCACATGTCAGAAGGTATGATGATGCGCTTTTTCACCAGCACCCATTTCACAGGTGATGAAACTAAGGCAAGGAAGGCGGTCAAGCTCACAAAGGAGACAGAGCGAGCTGGGACAGCTGCTTCAGTCATGGCAGACGAGGTCATTCTGGGCAACCCTCCCCACCACAAGCAACCAGAAAAGCAGGCAGGGAAGGGTTACAGAGCCAAGATCCAGGAGAAAGAAACCCGGAGAGATAAGCCTGGCGTCTGGGGTTGTTTTCCCAGAGCCACCTGCCAATTCCAGAAGACAGCTGCGAGCACCTGTCAGCTCAGGGAGGCCGGGGGACAACATCAGAGTCCAGAGCTCACTTGGTCAGCCCCACAGGTGGGGACCTCCAAGGGCCACACCCTAAGAATGAAGAATAAACCAGCAATGGACCAGCCCACCGTCAGCTCAAGTCCCAGACATTGAACTAAGGTGATTCAGAACTGCTAGGCCCCTAGCCACCTGCAGAAACAAAGATACGTTACACATGAAGATAATATCATCCACGGCCTCTTACTATTTCTATAAATTTTCATAATATCTTACTTAGTCCCTACCTCCCTGCTCAGGTGAAACGTTGGGGCAGGAAATGGGGAGGAAAATAGCCACCACCACCGTCAGAATCACAGGGAGTGTTCATTACGTGGCTGCTGCAAGCCAGGCGTTGCTCTAGTGCTTTGCCTGTGTTGAAGCTACGGGCAAAACCGTGAAGTTGGGGTTACCTGCCCTCTATAGAGGAGGCCACTGAAGCACAGAGTAATTAGGTGGTTTGACTGACGTTACGTCGCTATTAACTGGTGTTACGAGATCCTAGTGTTACAATTAGACATGCGTCCAAATGGAGCACACAGAATTTCTAGGGGGAAAAAAACAATATTTTACTTCCCCTAATTAGATGGTTCAACATACTCTGACCCGCCCTTCCTCTTTCCTGCCTCTCCCACGCCACTAGAGATATTCAGGGCTGAACCTGACCTTGAATGAAAGAGCAGAAGCAGAGTCCAAGGCCACACTAACTCGACCTCGAAAGCCCAAGTCACTAATGATGTTTCAGACCCAACCTCTGCGACAATGCCCTTTGAGCTGGCCTCTCAGAGTGGCCAAGACAAACTGGGCCAAAGGCTGAAGGCCATGCCCCCACAGGCCACGCCTAGCAGGGCTCAGAGCTAGAAGAAACCTCTAGACCCGGGCGAGAGGGGCCTCCAACCGTCTGGCCTCTGAGAGGCAGAGCACCTTAGTAGTGAACTCCCAAACTGTATTTTGAAAGGTTTTATCCACCATTAACCAAAGAGACTTAATAGTCCCCTGACAATGGAAAAGGGCTCCAGACAAAAGGAAAGCGGTCCAAGGACTCTAATAGACACAATTCCCTAATTGAAGGAAGTTCTAAGGATCCCTCATAGCCTGGAGACTTGGGTCCTCCATGTGGGAGGTACCAGCGGCTTGAGTGATGGCGATAAGCCAGCCGCCCGCCCGAGGCTGCGGCACTGCCCGACTGGGGCTGGCTGTGCCACCAGCAATGAGCAGAACAGCAGGCCTGGAAAGGAGAGTGGTTAAAGGACTCGGCCAGGACAATGGGGAAGGGGGAGATGGTGGGGACAGGCCTGTTACAAGATTCAAAAAGCAAAACGGGCCCTAGCTGGTTTTGCTCAGTGGATAGAGCCTCGGCCTGCGGACTGAAGGGTCCCGGTTCAATTCCAGTCAAAGGCACGTGCTTGGCTTTCAGGCTCAATCCCCAGTAGGGGGCGTGCAGGAGGCAGTCAATCAATGATTCTCTGTCATCATTGATGTTTCTATCTCTCCCTCTACCTTCCTCTCTAAAATCAATACAAATATTAAAAAAACAACAACAAAGCAAAACGTGCCCAGCTGCAGTTGAGCTCAGCAGTTGAGCACTGACCCAGGAACCAAGGGGTTGCCAGTTTGATTCCCTGTCAGGGCACATGCCCCAGTTTCGGGCTTGATCCCCAGTCCCATAGGAGGCAGCTGATCCATGATGTTCCTCTCTCATTGATGTTTCTATCTCTCTATCCCTCTTCCTTCCTCTCTCTCTCTAAAAATCAATATAAATATATATTTTTAAAAAAATCAAAATGTGTATGGCATTCAAATAAACTGGGTGCAGACTCCAGCTCTGGGCCCTGGAGGCTGAGAGAGATATGAGTCAGGGGCAGGCTAAGAAGGGCCCTCCTGCCCCTACTTGCCTTCTGCCTCCATGTATAAGAACTTCTGGAAGGGCCCTTGGGCAGGAGGCAGGCTGCCCCAGTCTTCCGGACAGGCCCAGGCACCCTCCCGAGGCACAGATCTGGGCAACCTGACACTCTGCCCAGCAAGCTCTCCTCCTCCCTGGGTGGAGTGACAGAAATGAGCATTCACTGGAAAACGCTGTTTATAGGCCGCTTCATTTAATCCTCCTGATAACCTTCTGAGATGAGTACTACCATTATCCCCTTTTGCCAATTCCCAGCTAGGAAGCAGCCAGAATTCAAACCCAGGTCTCAACATCCAGCTCTGGCTGGAGCCCTGTCAACCAGCCACTCCCACCCCGCCCACAAAGCACTTCCCAACAGCTCCTCTCTCTGCAGCCTCCCCGCCAGGGGAATGCAGCCAATTCCATTGAACAGAGAACTGCAGCGACTTGCCCTAACCCACAGCTGATAGGGGCAGAGCAGGCTCCTATGACGAACAGAGAAGACCCAGGTAGCTGGGCCTCAGATGGTTGCACCTCAAAGGTCAACTCCCCCGAAAGGCCTGGAGGTCTGACTTCTGAGAACCCAGCTCAGAAAGGGAGGAGCAGGCCAGGTAGGGGAGGGGCTGTGGCCAGAGAAAAGCAAGGCCTGCACCCAGGTCCTGGTGCCGCCACAAACCTCCCCAAGCTCAGGTCTGCTTTGACAACACGAAGACAGTTCCTGTTCTCGGTGACAGTGCTGGGAGAATGAAAGGACATCAAGGCACGCTTTGGAGCTTAGACTGATATAACAAAAGGTGGATTGGTTACACCTTTTTATTTCTTAAATATATTTTATTGATTTTTTTTTTACAGAGAGGAAGGGAAAGGGATAGAGAGTTAGAAACATGGGTCAGCTGCCTCCTGCACACCCCCTACTGGGGATTGAGCCCCAAACCCAAGCATGTGCCTTTGACTGGAATTGAACCTGGGACCCTGCAGTCTGCAGGCCGAGGCTCTATCCACTGAACCAAACCGGTTAGGGCTGGTTACACCTTTTCATCCTCACACAGGCAGAGGTTCTAGGCTCCCCAAGCCACTAAAATCATCACAGACCTGGAAAGCCCCTTAGAAGTCAACCTGGTCCCACCTCCTCACTTCACTGAGGAGGACTCGGGCCCAGGGGCCAAACCCTGTCTCACAGTCACACAGCCAGAACGGAGGGCACTATGTTTCAAGATCACTGGCTCTCCCCGAAGGTCGGTCGGGTCCTATCCAAGCCCTCCCACTCGCAGGGATCCTCCCTAGTCACTGGGACTCTCCAGCTCCTCAATGACTCTTGCTCATATGACCTCCACCCTCCAGGAGAGTCCCATGCCCTGGACTCTGTAGACTTGGTTATGAGACTGGTACCTGAGGAGGACGGGCAAACTGTTGGTGGGCCCCTTACTCCGTTACTCAGGCTAAATTAGCTTCTGCGGAACTCCATCTGCTCTCCTGGAAAATGGAACTAATTATACCCCCCTCCTGGGTGTTGCCAGGATTTAATGAGGGAACAGAGGGAACCTCCGGGGTTCGTATTTGAGGGTTCAAAACCCTCTATTAACACCATCAGACAGGTACTAACTACTAGGCTTAAGGCAAGCAACAAACATCACCCGTGTCTTCTGCCCCAGATCTCAGGCTCAGCAAAGCCCATGCCCCGACTCAGGTGATCCAGCGTAGGCGGAGATGCCCACGGAGGCGCCCTCTGCACCGCCCAGCTGGCCCAGGCTGCCCCTCTGCGCCTCGCGCCGCACCCCCTACCTCCAGGTCTGCGCTGGCCTGGCTCAGGGGCACAGGCGAGCAGGTCTTGTGCTCCACCAGGCAGATATGGCAGATGCACTCGCTGTGCTCGGGGCAGAAGAAGTCGCGGAGGCGATTTTGCTGGGGGCACTTGCGGTGCAACAGGTCCTGGACGGGCGGCTGCAGCGGGTGGTCCCGGAAGGCCGGGCTGTCGAGGTGCGGCCGCAGGTGCTCCTGGCAGAAGGAGGCCCTGCACAGGA